CAGGATGACAGCCTCCATCCTTGCCAACTCACCTTCAATCCAGAAGGATCTTCAGCTACGGTCTGCTCTGTCGGACAAGATTCTAGAGATTTGTGAAGATTATTAATAGCCTCACTCGTAGCACTGTGTACAGCTCTGATCCGGGCTTCTGTCATTCTTCCTCCATATAGATTCTGCACACCAGAGTTCACTGGAAAGACAGAGTATTATGCATGAGATATGTTTACAAAGCTAGCTTTCCCAAGCAGATCTTTCAGAGATTGATCTCAGTGGCTACAGACGCCTGGGGAGCAGTATGTAGCTCACAGTAACAAAAAAACCAAACTGTTTAGTACTCTCACATATATCCACAAGCTGTGGGATTCTTTCAAAAACAGGCCTCACCAGTGTTCTCTTTAACGAAAAAAGTCTTTCTGTACTTACTTCCAAAACTGTGACCATATTCACTGGAACCCAAAGTAGCAGCAGCAGAAGGGTGTCTGTGTAAGTCTGAAGAGGTGCTTGCTGTAGGATCCTGGAGCTGTAGTGGTGTTATCAGCTGTGTACCACCTGGCCTGACAGATAGGGTCAGCAAAGGTTTCTTATGGCAGCCACTGCTTGTGCTATCCTCCCCTTAAGAAGAAAGGAATTGCAGGTTGAAAAGTTTACACAATGGACCTCAGTCTTGCATTACTGCCCAGAGAAGGCCCTTCATTTTGCCCAATAGTCTGCTTGCAAAATATTAAGCAGTTACATGGATTTAACAGCAGGGTAGCATATCAGCTGAGCCACTACAACTACTAAAACATGTGCTCTTAGCCTGCTCATATTTGACAGGCAATACAGTCCAGCTCAAGCCTCAACATGTAGTTTATAAGAACAGTGAACTTTGCATCAGATTAGTGCAAACACAAGGTCAATTCTGCACACTGTTCCCAGAGGATTTATTCCTCTTAAAGACAGCTTTCTTGTCAATGTTTTGGTCACAAAAACTATAAAAACATCCAAGAATACGTGTGCCAAGAACTTGTGAGTTTTTCCTCTCCTTCTTGGAAGGGTCTGCCTTGCTTAAAATCAGATACAGTATAAGACATTGGGACTGCTTGTTATGTGGTGTCCTGTGAGTTACTCTTTCCTTGCTAGAGATCTTCAGTTTCCAGAGCTGTCAAAATTGATCTTTTCATCTGATATTCTGATTACAAAGTAATTCTCCTGCTGAGGTGGTCATGGAGGGATTTCAACAAAATGCCTCTTTCACAATCAATTAAGTGACAAAAAGCGACCTAACTGTGGGAAAAACCACAAACCGAGCGCGAAGCCAACAAGCGCAGGGAGAGTGAGGGTGCCCCAGCCCCCCCCTCAGGGAGGGAAACGTGAGCTCCTGCCGGCGGTCAGCGGTGACTCACCGGGGGGCGGGAACAGGAGTGTCGGTTAATCCCCTCAGGTAGAAAAGCAGCCCCCAGGGAGCGCGAGCGACCCGGAGCGCGGCGAACAGGGAGTGGCGCGGCAGTTTGCACGGCAGTTCGCGCGGGCAGGGCGCTGAGGGCCGGACTGGCGCACCAGGCGCTGAGAGGAGCAAGCAGCTGGTGACGCGGGTGTGGTAGCTTGTGCAGTAGGGAGCAAAGACTGTCACTCCTTGCTTGCTTGTAGCTGACCAGAGTGCTGTCGACCCCATGGTCTACATGGTCTCCTCCAGAAAGAGGGCTTGTCT